GATGAGATAACTGGCCTGTTCCCTGGGCCGGCAGAGTGAGAGACGGAGGCCGAGACGATGGACCGGAGAACAGCGAGCAGCTCGGAGAGCAGTTAGCGATGCTCAGACACTACACTGGCCTCCCTGCCATTGCTAATGGGCCTGCCCCGATGCTCCTCGCTCCAGTCCTGGTGGGAGAACGTTTCCTTCCCCCACAGTGGCCAGGCTGCGTCAGACCCAAGGTCCGTCCAGGCCAGGGTCCTGTCTGCCCACAGCGGCCAATGCCAAGGGCCCAGAGGGTGGGAACAGAACAGGGAACCATGAAGTGATCCCTCCCCTCTCACCCATTCCCAGCCTAGGCACATCCTAGCTAACAGCCATCGATGGACCTAATCTCCATGGATTTATCTAGCTCTCTTTTGAACCATGTTATAGTCTTTGCCTTCACCCCTTCCTCCGGCAAGGAGTTCCACAGGTTGATGCTGCGTTTTGTGAAGAAATACTGCCTTTGGTTTGTTCTAAACCTGCTCCCTATTAGTTTCAGTTGGTGACCCCTAGTTCTTAGGTGATGGGAACAAGTAAATAACTTTTCCTCATTCACTTTCTGCACACCAGCCATGACCGTACAGACATCTCTCATACCCCCTCAGTCTCCTCTTTCCGAAGCTGAAAAGTCCAGGCTTTTCATCTCTCCCTGCGGCAGCCCCCTGGGCCAGGCCTGGTGAGGAGTTGCAGGGTAGCAGTAGCATGTGGGAAGAGGCAGGGCGGGGGACGATGCTGCAAAGGGCTGTCCGTGATGGGACAGGCTTCCCCTTCTCCCATTCCTGGGAGACCTGTGCGGATCTCCGGGGCCCGGTCTCCACCTGGGTGCCAATTTTGCTCAGGGACAGCTCCCTGGGGCTCTGCAGCTGGCCCCTGGACTGGACGTGGACGGGGAGCGGAGCCCTACCGTGCCAGACAGGATGAACCGATAGATCATGTGACCGATCAGGCAGGACCAGAAGACGTGCAGCAGCTGCAGCACCAGCAGGAGGCCGTTCATGAAGTAGTAGCCGAAGAAGGGCTGGTAGAGCTCCATGGAGTAGTAGTAGGTGTTGTAGAGCACCCTGCAGGCGAGAGCCCCCATCAGCCTCCCAGGGAAGGGCAGGCTGCCCCGCCCTGCC